TTCTTTTAAAACCAGATTTCTTTTTGACAAAGGGAAAAACATATTTTTCTAAGTAGCTGTACTTTAAAACCTTCTAACACATATATCCCATAGTATTCGGTCATTATGAGTAAAAGGAGTTGAACAGGACATGCAAGTTTTTAATTTATTGACTGGTTATGTTACTTTATAATGTATTTTTACCATTTACATTACACACTGAGAATTCATTTAAAATTTTTAGATTAAAAAATTGCAAATATAATTTTACTAAGCATCTAAAAATGTATCTCGTTTAATTTTTTTGACAATGTTTAAAGATAGAATTGATTGTCCAAGTTCTAAAAAGAGAACACATTAAAAAAAAAAAAAAAAAAAAAAAAAAAAAACTAACCTTTATTCACAGAGAATTACAGAAGCGTTCTTCAGTGGATCTTCAGGTTTATTCCAAATTTCATACGCAATTTTGCTGCAATAATGACCAATTTACAATGCAAAATAAGTGTTCAGTTGCGCAATATGAATTCATAGTTAAGTAGCAAAGCAGGGTGGGAAAGCATTACATTAAGGAGCTTTAAAAAATAAAAATAATAAAGCAGCTCGCAGACAGAAAACCAAGCATATTTAGTTTTTGATACAAAATATTAGTCATGCAGATCAAGATGAAAAACATTATTGCTTATATTTGCCGATGAACAGATTATTGCTTTCCATAAAGTCAAGAAATAGATTTCAGGTTAATTGAATTTATAGCTCTGGCAACCAGCATCCAAGGAAATACCACCATATAGCACGCATAAGCACTGAAACAGTACTACAGTGTAATTCAAACTGTTAATATTTTTAAGAGCAAGTTAAACATTATGCTATGTTGGGAACAATGATTTATATCCACAGAAAGAAACATCATATTTTTAATTACAATTTAATTTATAAACATACAATCACTGAGTACATGAAATGGAATTTTATCAACATCTTCAAACTAAACACTGCAGTAATGACAATTTAATAAATTACTGAAATAGTAAATATCAGTAATACACACAATGAGGAAAACAATTCAAAAAGACTTATTGTAACTAAATAATATGATTTTCCATACAAAGCAGTTTAATGTTATAAAGTATCTCTAAAAAATGAAATGTTTGGTTAAATAGTGATATACTGTTACTGTTCATGATCTTTAGGATTACATGTTCACTTGTAATATCTGACATGAAACCTTAAAAATTCCTTTTTTAAGTTTGCAAAATGTATTAGTCACACAAATACAGAAATTATTAAAAGTGTGACAGACAAATTAAAGGCTTTAAATATTGATTGATTCAGTGAGTAATATAAAAAATGGGATATATATATTCACTAATGAGTTCAGTTACTTTCAAAAGGTCAATAATAAAAACAACATAAATTATTCGAAAAGTTACACTTATTTCAGGTTTTTCATCATATAAAAACTTATTCTAACACATTATGACAAATGCATGATTCTTTTTGTGGGAAAATTGCAGTACAGATAGAAAAATCTCTTGAAACATACTTTAAAATAAATGATAAAAGTATATAAAAATTTGAAACTTTTAAAAGTAAATGAAAAAATTATAGAATAATAAAATCCCTTAAAATTTTAGCCACAAAATCATATTTAGCACATTTCTAATCGGAATGAAACTGTAACTATGTGTCTACATCAGTTAAGAGTACAATTATCAAACTTCATATACAAGCCATCCCCCCCCCAAAGAATTTTTTGTTAAGACTATCAATGACAATAAATTCAGTAATGCTAAAATACTAGTAAGGAAGTAGGAAACTGCAATTTACAGAACAGGCTAACCTCCAGTTCCATCAAACAGGAACAAAAAAGATAAAGATCAAAATTAATATTAATTACATTATATATACACAATTTACCAGCTTAAATCGTTCCTCCCCTTCAAAAAAGAGTAATTTATAGGGATGGCATCCCAGAAACTTAATTGTTACTCCCCTAAAAATATAAGAGTTTAGAAATTTATTGCTCAAAACAACTGTATAAGTATCTATGAACTAAACTTGCATACTTCTAAAACTATTGAAATATTGATTTGTTTTTACTAGATTTTCTGTGTCATAAGCATAATCATTTCCTGTGTCACACATAAGCCTATGCCAAAAGCCTAAAATCTGCTTCTTGTCTATCACGCTAACCTTAAGAAATTAAATCAGAGGGGCATTAATTAGAATGTCTTATGCATTCCAACAAACAAAACAATCTCACAAGGGTATGTTTTTAAAGCAGCAATATTCTGTAATAATTAAAACCCCTTTTATTAAAAAAATATATATTTCTTGAATACAGAATACCCTTTTTGGAAAACTCCATCCGATCACATCTTAAAATGCACAATATATCAAAACCAAATCCTTACAATTTTTTTCATTTATGCACAAATGTAAATAGTTAATGAAATAATTAACTGTTTGTCTTTGCAAGCATCTTTTAAGCTAGTAATAAATGCCCATCATGAGTTCAAGTTGCACAGCATCTTTTCAAAAAATTAAATTCAACAGTTTGGCAATATCAATAGTATGTGCCATCTATTAGTAAACACGTAAATTAAAATGTAACTTAGGTCCCATCCCCTTAAAAAAAAATCTGCCTCTTTGATGAGCCTCAGGTTGCAAACCATAATTTGATATGTAATTTAGATATTCAAACTGTAATATGTTAATTTTATGTGCTTTTTAAAAAAATATTTAATCAGATATTTTACATGTGCATGAAATGCAAGCTTTTGTTCCAAGCCCTTGCATGAAATTTTTTAAATTTTAAATGATCCTATAGCTTGAAAAGTTAAATGTTGTGCATTTAACCATTATGTATGAAAGTTTAATTTCTAGTGCATTATAATGATGCATGCAAAAGTTATTCATTACAGTGAATTATATTGTATAAAATATGAGGAGATGTGGTTCATAGAAGGGTTAAAATCCTTATGTAGGTAAACTGGTTTAAAAATTGAATTGGACAAAACTATTTGTATTAAACTATTTCAACCAATTTATTTTCTTGTAGTTAGAAAGAAACATATTTTCTGCAATTAAATGAGAAATAGACTAAATTCAGAGCAATACAAATGTGTCAGCAAACTGCATGTTAAGGAAAATATTTCATAAAAATTTGTATACTCATAATGACATATACCTTTGCAACATTCAAATCAATATCTTTATTTCACGTGAATTTACACTGATTTTTCATCTTTTTACTCTGCCACATATCCAGATTACTACACAATAAGGTTTGCTCTTTCATGATGTCAATGAGGGCATCACTGAAACAAAATCTACTTAAAATCAAATATTCCATACTCGCTTTGTGTCTTTGTTTCTCCCACTTCAGTACATCAAGTGTGAGCATTGGAAAGAGCCTAACCTTGTTTGTCTACTGACTTTGGAATACTCATTCATATTAAATGAAACCTTGGCCTTCCTGAATGTTACATGAAGAAAAACAGGTTCCTGATATCAGGCAATGAGAAACTGTTCTGGTCATGTGCATGTGACAAGTGTAGTGTTACTTTGCCTCTACTGCGATGATAGATGTGTTCAATGAGTGTGCATTGCCTTGATAGTACATTTTCGGCTGTGGTGTTTCAACAATGAAATTCACTTCACATATCTCCTTTTGTTCAGTTGCTCCATAAGTATAGATATAACAGTTCATTTGATTGGCTAGGTCTTGCATTATCCAACAGGTTTTTACAACAATGAAAGAAACATGCACTCTGCTAATAGGCAGTTTTTAATCAAATAAAATTTCTACAATATATGGTTAGCATCCCTTATAAATGTTGATACACTTGTTACTTTTGGCCAATAAAAAATAAAAGAAAGAAAGAAGAATGAATAAAACTACTTACTGTTCTTAAGCTTACTCAAGAACTGTGAAATACACACATTCTTTACAATAAGCACAACATTGAATGCAAGTATCATTTGATTTAAAGCCTTAATACACATGATTGTTGTTTGCTGTGTGCCATCATGAACCTCTTTTTCCAGAAACGTTTGGGTAAAAGTCAAGGCTACATTTAAAAATGAATGACTTTTCTCTATCTACACAGAGAAATTTTTAGTCTTACTGTCACTTTTTCATTTGACCAAACCATATAGATGTATTCAAAAAGTATATTTAATATCCTTATGTATTCTGCATCATTATTCCTAGACTTAATATGTGAGTAAATGAAGGTGATTTATTTCACAATAAAGTTAAGAAACCAAATTAATAAATTTTATACACAAAATAAACATTTCAATAGATTCCACCACAACAAGAAAGTACTTAGGAACAGAATCTGTTGTTAGGACTTTATACAAAAGGTAAATTTACAGCAAACCTACTTATTTTTAAAAATAAATAATTAGATTTGAAAAGAATGAATCATATTTGCATATGAAATTAAAATACTTTTTAGACAGTGTTAAAATGTTACAATTAATAAACACACACACACACACGTATATATATATATATATAGTTCGAATAAATTAAATATCACATTTTTTTCAATGTATAAATACCCTGCAACTTCATTACAAAATCTTCTGCCTAAACTATATAAATTATTTTATTATGGGCTAGACTATAAAATGCTAATCAATGAAAACTGAAACCAATGTGGCATCCAAATATTTATATCCATAATGCCTCGAAAAACTGTTTCTCCTTCTCATATTAAGCTCTGAAATAATTTCATAGATTGACAGTCAAACACAACAAATGAAGTGATACACATGTGTGTATCCATCTTCTATTTTGCAATAAAGTATATGGATCACCCCCCCCCCCCCCCCCGAAATGAGACATTTAAACATCCTCTTTGTTAGCATGATAATGACTGCAAACAATGTCTGAAATACTACTGAACTTATATGAATACAAATTTAAAAACATGGATAAAAAAAACCTATCCAAAAGTACTAGAGTATAAAGAAATAATTTATAACCTATTTTGAAATAGATAACTTACTACTTGAACCAAACATGCTTTTGCTCGAATTTCGTCCAATGTCAGCTAATGAACGTATTAGAGGCAATCTGGAACCTTTATCTACTTTATCATGCTTGCGTTCATGCTGATGCCGATGACGACGCAGCAGAGCTTCTTTTATTCTATCACGAGCTTCCAATTGCAGATGACCAGCATTGACAATATTCTCTAATACAAGATCTAAAATATACATTTGAATTTTAAATGATGAAGTATTCACAACCGAAACAAGGGCAAAAAGTTTCTTAAGATGATTTCACACTCATAAAAATGTTCAGATACTTTCCATTTCTAAAAATACATTTTAAATAAGTTATAAAACATAAAAATAAAATTATAGTTTTTTAAATTATAAACAAATTTTTTAATCAAAATATTCAGCATTTTTACCAAACTCAAAATAAAAAGCTTACAAGTATTTCCTCATAAGAATGAAAAAAATGTCACAAGATTCACTGAATATTACAGGAAATCAAACAAAATCATCTGCAATACAAAAATTTAAGGCACTGTATTTGCATTAAACACAACATGTGATATCTATAAAAACTCCACTTTGAAATAATTCTTCAAAAAATGTTCTCTGAATTCACGTTATTTAAAATTTTTTAAATCTTGGCTGCTTTAAAAAAAATGCTTTTCAAAATCCATAAATTAATTTCCAATCAGAAAAAGATATGTCTATTGTAAAAATGAAAAAATTATTATTATTATTATATTTAAGCATCTAATAGTTTTGGGAACAATAAAATTTTATTCATAGCATGCTACAGAATACTATTACATATTAAAAAAGTCAAAGAGAAAAATGAGTGTGGCATGCATGCAGTCAGTCGATCAATCTTCAAAAATGTTTAACAATATTTTTACCTCAAACATTATGTATAGTGAAATTTTTGATTAATTTCATGAGTTGTTTCTTTCCGTGAACTATATTACTCACTGTTGTGCAAAGCTGGAGTTATAATTAAAAATAATTGATTTATCTTTGTTTAATATTTATTTAATATTATGTATTTACTGTCATTTAATCTTATGACCAAGTCTCAAGATATGTATACAGTTTAAATTTAGATTTATTCTCTACTTTTTAATTCTCTCATTCTCATTCTTATAGAATTAACATTGTAATGTCAAAAGTCGTTAATCCGGACTCGTCGGGACTTCGGCGATTCCAGATTATCGATTTTTCCGGATTACAGATCATCAGTTTAAATCTGGTAAGATGACATGCAGAAATTACAAAATTAAAATATGAAACCGTAATTTATGAAGTAAAGAACAATTATGATCTAAAGGGTATCAAAATTTACAAAAAAAAGCTTAATATTTATTTGTTTACTTTATTAAACATTTCTTTCAATGTAAGTTGTTTAAGTTGCTTCGTTTCATGTGATAATACTTTCTCTTTAATTTCTATTAAAACAATAATTTTCTTGTTTAGTTACAAAGTTCCGCTGTTCAAGTCCTATAATTGCTTTAAATCATATCAAAGACGAGTACATGACATGAAATACTACATTTAGTAAGGAATTATAAGCCAAATAAAATAAAAACATCTGCCGTGAAGATAAGGATAGTGCTGACAAATCAACTTCCAATTCATTAGGCGCCACGGCATTTCCCCTCCCTCCCCAGAGCAGCCTGAAATTGATAAACAGATTTCGGAACATACTTTCGCTTTGTAAATCCTTTACATATTAGTAAATATATATCGGAAATTCTATTTGACATAATTGAAAGTTCAAGCTTACTTTTATAAAGTTTCTCTAACAGTCTGCAAAAAATAATAAGCCGGATCCAATTCAAAGATTAAGGAACAACGCAATCTGCAACATTAACTGAATTAGATAATTTTAGCTTAGCTTCTTATACCGTCCGTTATATATTAAACGCGCATGTGCACACACATACTTGCAGCCGTAAAGGTCTTACGTGCACGCGTAAACACCTATGCGCGTGCGTCAAAGCGACGCATGTGCAGAAAGTTTGTAGCTTTGAGGTCCGGATTATGGGTGTCCAAATTAACGACTTTTGACTGTAGTAAGTTTCACATGTTCACTTCTTTGATTTGTTAGAGAGTTAGGAGCTTATAAGTAATGAATGATTCTTCGAGAATATAATGAAATACTGTCAAAAACTATGAAATACTGAAGACTGAGTCTTCCTAAACTTAAAGCAGAACTTTATTAATCATATAGAATTATCATAAATCTGAATATTTAAAAGAGTTGTCTGGTATAAAGGATACAAAGCCCAGATAGCAAGTTAAAATTCCTACATCAGTAGAAGAGCAAGAAACTTCAGTTTTTGGAGGGGGAGCCTCAAAATCAATGAGATATACAATTTCCGAATATCAAACTATGGAAGAAGAGGTTTGTATGGCAGATCGGAGCATGCAAGGGCTATTATCTGCCTAATGGGGATGCTTTCCTGGGGGATTTCCTAGGAAAACTGGCATGTATCTCCACTACAAATGGCAAAAACCATGAAAATATTCATGCAGCCCACCCAGTTATTGGGATGGAGGAGGAGAGGTTAAGGTAGAGTGGTGTGTCTTGCTCTTTGAAACCATAAGGTCATTGATATTGAAATAGATCAATACAAACAATGAAATTTGGAATAATCAGTGCAAAAACTTATTTTGCAAATTAATTCCAAATTCTACAAGATAATGAAATTAAGTACAAAACTATAAAAGTGAGCCTCTGGCTGCTGTTTATTACTCTTGAAACATTCAGAATATCTCCTAACTGTCTAGATTTTAAACTTATTAAACAAATTTGGTAAGAAATGGAATTTAACATCCAAAAGTATTTGCTCAGTTGACATTAGCAATGCATGATGATGAAGAAAACATTTGGCTGGAAATAAAATAACTGAATTCATGCTAAAAAGATTAAATTGTGTTTCTCAATAGCTTATAATACTCTACTAAGATGTTTTACAAATTCAGATTTTTATTATTTATTTATTTACACTTGCTAGAAAAACAAGTATTGGATTACTTGACATGACTTCTTTTGTTCAAAACAGACATTAATTTTTAAGCTCAATGTTTTAATTTAAGAAAGTAATACTTTATGCAAGATTAACATTAGATAAATGTTATGCTTTGAAGAAAATCACATTTTGTGTTTAGTTTAATGCATTTGAAATACTTTGTTTTTGGGAAATCAAAAGTGGCCAGTTGCTTTTGTAATACACTTTATATTAAATCGTGCATTCTGTATATATTTAAAACTCAAATTATAATACAATACAGCTTTATCACTTTAATTATGAATTAAATGTCTGAGTTCAAGGATTTATTATTAAATCAAATTCTCCGAGTTTTGCATAAACCTCATTTATAGATTGAAAAACAAAGAATAAATAGTGAAATCAAATGGTTTTTCTTTTACTATTAAATTAAAATTCTATGGAAAACTTTTAAATTATGCAGGATTTTTAAGAAACATAATTTCTCATTTTGATTAAAAATTAGGTCAACAGTAGGTAAATTATGAACAAATCTACAGCATTAGTTATGAACATCATATGATTAACAGACTAGAATTTCACAGTTATTTCTATCATGCCTCGATAATTCTTAGAATTTTAAGCTATATAATCTTAAAAATTGATTTTTCAAACATTCAACAATATAATCATCAATTTAAAAAAAAGTATTAAAGTACAGTGAATAAAAGTTTACATATATTGGAACAATTATTTTAAATACAATACTAAGCTGAATACAATTTTAAATGAAACTTTATGTGTATAAGCATTAACAATGTAAATAAAAGATACGAAAAAAGCAATTAAGTAACATTTTCTAACTCAATTTCAAAGGGATTCAAATTTAATGCTATTTAACTATTGCTGTAATAAAAAAAAAATTAATCTACAAAGTTATAACATAAATTTAAACATAATTAAAACCTAATTTAACCAAATGAATGACAAGTTATAAAATTTTATAACAAATAATAAAAATATAAAAAAATTCCCACCTGAAATTTGATCGAGGTTAGTTGCTTCTAAATCTAGCATTACAGTGCCATTAAGAATACAACTTCGTAATTCAAATAAAGAATGTAAAGATATAGTAGCTACATGTGGTTTTGACCATCGATTTCCCCCTTCTTCAACATCTTCTTCAAACTTTATCCATCTATTAAAATATAACAATAGTTGACAAATAAATTGCCAAAAAAATCATGACTTTGATGCACTTTATTACACTGCTTAAAATAAAAAGTAGGCAACTTTTTATTTTAATATTGTTACATTTATTTTTATCAACACTTTATTAAAAAAAATTTTATTTCAAACAACTGTTTCATATGAGCATTAACTGGAGAAGGTAAGTTGCTCCAATGAGCAAAACCAAGTGCTTGGACAGTCATGATTTCTTATGACTGCCAAGCACAATTTTTAGGAAATTTATATATTAAAAAAACTGGCTCTTGGTTACAATTAACTACAAAACTACACATGCATATTCACTAAAACTAAAATTATCCAAACAGACTTTTTAAGGCAATTTAAAAAGATAAAATTGATTATATTTTTAAGAATGCATTAAATTGACTTAGATCACATACAACCTCATTAAAATCAAAAACCCGTCATAATGCATAAATAACAAGTTACTACAAATCCCTCGGCAATATAACACAAAAAGTATAAACAAAACCTTGGACTGTGAGTAACTTGGCTAGTAAATGAAACAAAACAGCCAAAATTTGTTATAAAACTTGATAACAAGCAATGCCAAGAGTAGAAAGTATGCGCTTTGCCTATCAAGTGTCATTAAAATAGCTAGTTGTTGATAAAATTGTCTCCTTGAAGGAAGACCATGGGATTAGAGACAAGGAAGAAAAACATGCTAATGAAGAACTAATGCAGTAACACATCCAGGAGCTAAAAACTAAGGAACTAATGGATCTGCATTACAAGCAACAACAATACAGCGTAGTTCTCACCTATGAAGACACACACACAAAAAAAAAAAAAAAAAAAAAAAAAAATTAAGAGAGAGATTGAGAAATCCCTTGCTTTAAATGAGATTAGAGAGATATGTAAAACATCATAAAGAATGTAAAATTTTATAGAAAATGACCATACAAATAAATAATAGCAGCAATTAACCTAATGACAATACAATGTCATATTTCTGGAAAATCAGTAAAAGGAGATGAAAGCAACTTTCATTGTTAAAGTCATGCAAAAAAAATATTCCAGTAAGTTAACAGCAGTAAATTTGTTAACCATGGTTCTTTTCAAAAGCAAATTGCAGAATAATCCATTCTAATGTTCTTAATAAATCCGATGATTATGTTCTAAAATCTACTCTCCTTTGTCAAATAATCTTCCATTGCTCAAAACTGGATAAAATTAATCAGATCCCGACTCTAGAAAGGTGAACGACACATATAAAAATTTTACACAGACTTCAGATTCATCTTGAGCACAAACAATAACAATATTAACAATTTTATAATTTTTTTTTTTTTAATCTACATAATTACAGTAGACTGTTGGTTTTACTACAGTAGGGTGGATAAGTAATGCAGGATTTTAACCTGCCAAAAAAAAAGTCCACAAAGTGGATACAGTCAAAAGTCGTTAATCCGGACCTCAAAGCTACAAACTTTCTGCGCATGCGTCACGTTCATGCATGCGCACAGGCATTTACAAGAGCGCGTAAGACCTTTACGGCTGCGAATATGTTTGTGCGCATGCACGTTTAATGTGTAACGGAGTATAAGTTAAGCTAAAATTATCTAATTCAGTTAATGTTGCAGATTGCGTTGTTCCTTAATCTTCGAATTGGATCCGACTTATTATTTTTTGCAGACTGTTAGAGCAATTTCATAAAAGTAAGCTTGAACTTTCGATTATTTCAAATAGAATTTCCAATATATATTTACTAATATGCATCTACAAAGCGAAAGTATGTTTTGAAATCCGAAATCTGTTTATCAATTTCACAGGGCGGATTGGAAGTTGATCTGTCAGCACTATCCTTATCTTCAGGGCAGATGTTTTTATTTTATTTGGCTTATAATTCCTTACTAAGTGTAGTATTTCATCTCGATGTACTCCGTCTTTGATATGATTTAAATCAAGTTCCTCGTCTTTGATATGATTTAAATCAAGTTCCTCGTCATTATCATTATAATTCGCTTCCGATAGTGAAGAAAGTGACCCAGAGGTTATTGAAAACGAAAACATTTCGATTGACAAATTAGTCGGTATTCTCAACACAGCAATTATAGGACTTGAACAGCGGAACTTTGTAACTAAACAAGAAATTATGTCTGTTTAATAGAATTAAAGAGAAAGTATTATGACATTAAATGAAGCAACTTACATTGAAAGAAATGTTTAATAAAGTAAACAAATAAATATTAAGCCTTTTTCTTTTGTAAATTTTGATACCCTTTAGATCATAATTGTTCTTTATTTCATAAATTACGGTTTCATATTTTTAATTTTGTAATTTCTGCATGCCATCTTACCAGATTTAAACTGATGATCTATAATCCGGAATCGCCGAAGTCCCAATGAGTCCGGATTAACGACTTTTGACTGTATTATAATACAATTTTTTATAGGTTATTACAATTTTGAAGCTAAGCCTTTACTTTCTCAATTATAATGAATTAACTTCACTAATTTGTTATTATCTAATTGCTGCCATATGCTAAGCTGCATTTTCATTCATAGAATAGTTTTGCCCACAGAAACCAATCCAAAGATTTTTCCTATATAGCCTGATTTTAACAGTGAATGTTAATGCTGAGGGTAGTTTAAGAAGTTCTAATCTTGAGCACAAGCAATGGTAACCAAGGGATATGGATGATGATGAACTGAAGATGCTGCTAGAGCCTTCCACATGGACTCTAGCTAAAAACTATAAAGAATGAATAATTTGTTCTTTTGCTCACAAGAAATAAAGTGGAGAATTTTTTAAGGTGAACTATAACTGAAGAATGAGAAATAAATTTTTTATGCTGATTCTACCTGAAAAACACAGTCGAACGTAAAAGAAAAGCCCACGTCTTGCAGAAAATCAAAACACTATTCCAAAGTTTCTTCTCTCCATCTGATGAAAGATACGGTTTATTTTGAACTACTCGAAAATAACCAAACCATTAACGTAAACATCTGTTACCATCAGTTATATCATTTGAAATGGTCTTTAATCACAACTCAAGCTTGTATTGATCAACAGACCTGAAATGATTCTTCATCAGGTTAAAGATAAATACAAGTTAAGGTATTAAGATGACTCATTGCAACACTTTTTTTCTCCTTTCTTCCCTTTCTGGCATAAATTTCTACAACAAACATGAGATCAAAAATGCAATAAAATAATATTTTTCAGTTATAAAAGTTGATTGAAAAGTTGCCAGACACATGGACAGAAAATGAGAATACGATATTATTAAGAATATTTATGCAGCTACTTTTTTTCCATTTGCAATTGTCTGCCTCAATTCAGCATTACTTTCAGGGCATTTTGAATGTATTTCACATAAAATACCAATAAACATACTTTTATTCAAAAATATATGCAGTAGTTTATTTTCTCGAAAACACATCATAATGACAACAAACATAAGCTACATAAAATACAATTATTTATGACCTAGCAGTTTCCCTCCATTCCATTTCATCTCCTTCATAATGAAGTTCTTCCATTTCACTGAACAAGGGATGAGATTCGTGAGTGCCATCTTCATCTTCACCCAATATAAAATGAACACGTTCTGCTGGTGGTGTGACTATTAGGAAAAGAAAACAAACATGTTTTACAATAATAAATTTTCAAATACAATATCTTTTGAAGACATATGTACATGTAACACATAACTAATTAAAAGAATGACAAATACCACTGAAAATATTTTATGCATTAATATAAGAGTATATTTTAAGCAAGAACAAATACATTTTAAATAAGTACAGACAAAAAATAATCATTTAAAAAACTATGTATCAAATTATCATTGTGGCTCATGCTTCATCAGCTTTAATCTGTACTTATGAATATTAGTAAAATCAAAATACTGCTTTAGAATTAATTGCATCGAAACAAATAATAGCAAAGTAATCAGATCATAGTTAATTAATGAAAAGTTTTTAACTCTGTCTTGTTTAATTTGCTTTAAAAAATAGAGTAAAGTTATTATATCAAATATATTAAAATTAATAAAAAATTCATATTCATTTAAAAAGGTGAAATTACTAAATCAGTAAAATCTTAAAAATCATGCAAAATTTTATATACTAATTGCAGCACGAAATGCAAACTGATATAATTTTTTTAAAATCTTTGTTACACGCAAATTGCCCCAAGTTCGAAATATTAAATATGTATTACAATAAAACCTAGAACAAAAATTTCATACAGTAAAATGTTTTTTGTGCAAATTTTAATTGAATGAAAAATGTCTGGACTTTTAACAGGTTAAATTCAGTCAGTTGTGAAGAGTTAAAATTTTCTCAGGTTCGACTACAGTATTAACAGTTATTACTATTTTATCCAGTGCAGAGCTATTAACTGCCAAAAATCAGTAATTTTGCTTTATAGTTGCTCTTTAATGTTTGGAAAAATTTTAATTTCAGTCAAAAGACTGAAGTCAAAAATTAGATATTTGAACCCTTCCCTCACCTTTGATACATACTTATTGATACGTTATTATGATAGACCACCTTTGATACATCATTATACCTACTTTGTTATAAATATCCCTTATAAAAAAGGGGAAAAAAATTATTTAAGAAAAAAATGCAGGAAAGCTTTTATTTACCTGGCCTATGTAATTCGTTGGGATATTCAGCAGATGTTCCATCTTCCCTTTTTTTATGTCCATTTTTGTGATGATGCCGATGCCTTCTATGATGACTACGTCTGTGGTAACCAGGAACATGCAAACCAACATAGACAGTATGAGCTCTGTGTCCTACAGAAGATAATTCCTCATTTTTAGTAAAGACAAAAAGAACTATTTCAAAAGCATTTAAAATAATAATAAGAAAAGCATGCATATGAAAGAAAAATAAATACTTTACAACGATTTAATTTTCCTTCTTCAATAACTTCCATGCCATATAGACCAATAAAAATATATATGTATAAATTACTTCTCATAATACATTCTCCAAAGAAAATTAAAGCATCTTCTGAATATTAACCTGAACATAACTTTTTATTGATATTTAATGATAATGAAGCCAAGTTCCAAATTTATGAATATGAAAACAAATAGATAATAAAAAGTGGTATTACAATTATAATAGCATAGGCCGATAAAACTTCTACGAATTTAATAGATATTTTTATTAAGATATTATTTAAGACATCGTTTTTTAAGGTTGTTAAACTAGGAATGTCAAATCTGAAGATTACATCTTCCTCATATCTTTCATGTTTTATACGACTAAAATTTAATTCTAAAACATTCTCAATCACTGTAAATAAATTTTTAAACTGATATTAATGAAAATGACGTTTTCAGAAATTATAAATATAATTTTAGATATTTACCAACACTGGTTATTTTTTGAGTGAATTAAAACATATAATATGAGCATGAAATTTCCTATTAGCAGGGGAAAAATTCCCTCTTACCTTCGAAGTCTTTGTCGGTGTAACTATGATGCGTTACACGCACTCCGGGATCTCGCGGCGCTTCCTCCAAAATTGAGGGATTCATTGCGTCCCCTAGAAAAAAACATGAAACTTATAAATAAACTCGGAAGGGAACAATAAAATATGAAATTTAAAAAAAAAAAAGTTTAATCTCAATTACTTATCATACTAAATATACCGTGAAATTTTATACTTAAAAAAAAAATCGAGTAAAAGTTTAGCTTTCGCTCCACGCCATCAAACAATACGATATTCTGTTTACGAACAAGTATTTTCTAACCAGACCCATCTACCCACCCACTGCGGGCAGTTCCCACCACTCAAACTGCGAAAAGTATCCACAAGAGGAATACGGTAGAAGAAAACACACGATAAAACGCCTTTACAATGTTCACAAAGCCGGGGCGAAAACGACTTTCCCCGCTGATGTTTAGAAAAGGCGACCTTCTTTTCCCGCCCATAGCGGGAGGTCACATTTGTGAACTCTGTGGCTAGATCAACCGAGAGACAGTAAAAAATTTGTTGTTTTCTTTCGAATATCTTCGCTAAAACAGAATATTGTAAGAAACAGTCTGTTTATCGAAGAACTGGGTTTAAAATTCGATGTCCCAAGCTATGTCCGAAATGCTGCGAATCCAGTTATGCCCTCTAATAACTCTAAACAGAAACATTTAACGTATGCTATTACAATATTTTCTTTCAGTCGACTTTTTTAATTTAAAGTAACGTAAAATAACAAGCTTTATGTTTTTTAAAGAAAGGTGCCACCGAAGTCCTATATCGAGCAGCAAAAGGAATAGGCAATACTTTTTACATACACATCTCCTTCAGGGATAAATAAGAATTATGTGAGCCCCTCGGTGGTGTGAATTCTGCACTCAGTTGCTAAAATAATCACAGTATCTTCACTAACGAAAATCAGCTTCTTTAACGATCGGTCTTCACATTATTAATTTGTTCGAGATTTAGGCGAAGCAAAACTCAAGAATATCTCAAAAATCACTTGCTTGACAAAATATTGTATACAGTGCTTACGCCAAGCAATTTCTTTGTTCACCATTTCATAAATTTCAATTTCAAAAATGTTCCCCAGATGCATCGTAACGAACATCATCGGGCAATATCTATACATAAAAGGCTTTAATTTTTCAAGTATGCGCAGAAAATATTAATACTTTCACCATTCTGGTTTTCATTTTCCATATAGTTTCAGCAGATTTAATATTCAGTTACCTGTAGACCGCAAAACTACCCTATTTCAAAAAAGAATTCTGCAATAATAAAATCTTAATTAGAAAAACCTAGCTTTTCGCAATACTTCGTATTTTCGGAGCTGTTTAATATTATTAAGAATTTCCAAACAATCAAATCTTTCAAATACTCTTCGTATTTTCTGCAGTAGAAATCTTCTCTGCATGTTTTCTTTCCATTACCCCATCTCAGCCCCTTTTCCACCGATGACGAAGCATACATTTTAGATTTGGCCTCAAACTGACTATTCGACCTGAAAGTTGAGTTTATATACAAGCACAAAATCTTTAACGCTTGTTGTAAATCAATATAATAAAATATTATCGTCTACTTAGGGCTTAATTTCTAAAATCAGAAATGCCGAAGCCTTATGGATGAACGTCAAAAAAGCAACGAACAAAACTAAATAAAGCACGGAAAGTTAAATTTAAAAAATATAATAAAGTTAATAATAAATCATGAATTAAGTAACTATATCATAAAATTAAATTAAATAAGATTAAAGATAAGTAAATTAATGATATAACAACGAAGACAAAAAGAAACGTAAGTATTTTAGAATAGAATTCTTAGTGATCAGATAACATGTAGTCTTTTGGTTTTTTTTTATTTATTTAAAATTTTCTTGACCGGATGGGAACAGATCATAAATAGTCCATTTCCATAAGGAATCGCATTTTCAAACGTTCCTCCTCAACTACTCAATATTTCCAGAGTATCTGCTCTTTCCAGGTAAAGTAAGCCATATTCACCAGTTAATAAAACTAGTGATAATACTATATACACTAAAAAGAAATACTACTACATACAACAAAATATTACTAGCTACGAAAGAAACATGCACATGAAAGATATCGACGTTTTTAATATCCAGATCGAAATTTTATATTTATTTGCATTTTATGCATTTTCATAGGAGGATTCATAAGACGAATCTTAAAAATTAAATAATAAGTTTTCCAAATCTACATTCTAAATGCTTTTCAATCTCTCAAATCGTTCGAACCTCGAATACTTTAAACAAGAATAAAAAGATACAAATGGAATTTTATAAATGACACATAACATGACATGCACAGAATGTCCCAATAAAAGCACTCAAAAGATTGCTTTATTCTTGGAAACCATTTTGCAATTATTATTATTTAAGTGTTCCGCTTTAAGGCACAACACGGAAGAAAGGAATGCCTTCGCGAATGACTTTCTAAGGAAAACTGACTCGTATCAACAAATTACACATACGGAAAACCGCGAAAATGCCCATGCTGCCAGCCCGTTGGCGGGATTCGAACCTCGGACCAGTATTCAAGGACTTTATCGCTCGGCCGAATTTTTGAAATGAACATTTAAGTAGCGCGTACACATATTTTCATGCAAGCAAATGAGCTTGGCATATTTTATTCAAAAACAGTATACACTGCAAAATTTCTGTCCAGGACACGAGCTGAAGTAATAATATCCTCTGACGTATTGCTATTGAACTAACTTTGTATAAATTCGCGTTGTACTAAAAACAAAGAGGAAGAGTATCTCCGAAAGTCAACATCAATATCTTATTATGACATTTTATTGAAAATAAATCGCCATAAAAAGTCATACATCGAGTGAATTTTTGCTGTTCGGTGAGGAAATCTAATTGGACCGTCAAGTAACGTCCACAAATATTCCAGAATAGGATTTCCGAAACAAAAGAAACAACTGCTTTTTTTTTTTTTTTTTTTTTAAATCCTCTTCCACCTCCTTTGTTTCGTAAATCCTCATGTATTTAGTACTATTAATTTTTATCATGTGATTCAAATTCACGTCTACGGCATTAATTTTATAGTTCAAAAATGACAATCACATAGATAATAAAAACGCAATGAGCGCAAAAATTAGCCTTTTAAATTATTTTTGAAAATGATTCATATATAGATAATTTGAAAAACAGACGCTCCAGTTAACGGATTTAAATTCGTTCCAGTTAATAGTCAATGTCCTCGCTTAAATTAGAAGCCTTAATTAAAATTATGAGGCTTTCTAGTGCGGAAAAGGTAGAAAATAAAGAACGCCCTCGCTTGGACCTTCCAGCTTTCAAATCGCTTGGATCTTCAGGTTGGATGTGTTACCATTTGCACAACAAGAAGCAAATCAAAATGTAAGTTATATACAAGCAAACATAGGGAAAAAATATTTCGGCAATGGTCTTTCTGAGGCCCTCTTAAAACGCAAAGTCCCAACCAGACGCCAGATTCGTCCACGTATTAAAATGCCAGTTGCCATTTTGAAAAATAATAAATCCAAACTGATAAAAACTAGTGGAACAAATAATTTTTAGCTATATAATAGCCAAGAAGTAAACTGATTGAACATAGTTCGACATGGCTTCAAATCCCGGCGAACGGGCTGCCTGCGTGGGAGTTTTCATGGTTTTTCAAATGTGTAACGAGGCATTCTTTCAAACGAGAAAATTCCCTTAAAGAGATCCTCCATGGAGGCATCCCTCGCATATTTACCCTTAGAAAGTCCTCTATGAAGGCATCTCTCCATACGGCAAAGCACATGATCTAAATAATGCTACTAAATAACTTTTAGGTAAGCTTAAAGAATCAATTTCACTTTTAAAACCGAATGATGTGTTTTAATACTGGCTTAAAAAGTACCTTCGCACTAACAGTAAAGTTGGACATATGAATTAAAATTTGAGAATTTTAACTTCTTTGCAAATGAACCACTACTTTTAACCTGCACATTTTATTTCGATGCATACAATATACGATGGTTTAATATACGTAACTCGTATTTAGTAGGACTGCCATTCTACCTTGCTGTAAAATTCTATGAAATCAAATTGATCAGAAATTAATTCAAAAATAACATTTCGAACTCCTTTCGAAAGTATTTTACTAGTTAAATATCATTAATTTTAAACTTTTCCAACAGCAAGTTTAAATTGAATCAATGATCTTAATATTTGAATTTTAGCAGAAAAATGAGCACAAAAGAATAAACGATATTGGCAAAAAAACGGTAATTAAAGTATATGATAGCTTTACAGAAGAGTCACATGTTTCAGCTTCATCAGAAATCCCCCTCCCCCTTTGGTCGCGTAGTAATGTCGCGATCGAGTCTAGACAGTCTGTCGACATTCATGTAACCTTCTGCTTCAGAAAATAGTTATTATAGTTTAAATTCTGCGCATATTTCGCACCCACTCTGACCAGGCTACCAAACATTTAGTATATTTTTTATTTGCAGACACCAGTTTGTTTAAAAACAGAAATTTCGTCAATTTAACTTGTAATTTACAGCAGTCCGATGCTAGAGGAGTCTAACAACTTCAAGAGCCCTGGAAAGGTTTTACATTGAAAGGAAGATATTGCATAATCTTTCCCAAAGAAAGACTGAGCAAGACTTTCCAAACGAATATTTTCTTAAAACAAGAAAATGGAGGAGGAAAAAAAAAAAAAAAATTCCTATTTGACTTGGGGGGGGGGAACTGCATAAAGTTTTAATGCATACACTGCTTGATTTTTTAACATTTTTTTAAAATAATTTTTACATAATCTGGAACTTTAAAGCAATAATTCTTAGCTTTTTTTCGGTTGACAAGGCTGTTAAATGAAAATCAGTGATCTCGTGACATAGTTATTTGGATTCTGAACTTTTATTACCGGTGGCGTGTTAATTTTGAGTAAAATAATGCATAATATCTTCTGATAAATTTATTAAATTATATTAACAGGGGAGATTAGAACGATTTTGCAATAACAAATAAACAATTTTTAACCTAGTGATTACCATAAAATTTAAATAATTTAAAAAACATCTAAAATAAACAC